TCTTGCCTTGTCAGTGAGCAGCGTGCACAACTAGGAACGGGTCGGCGCGTTGATCACCCGCATCTGCCGCAAACTGCTGCGGGTTGCGTTACTGCGATACGTGGACGATTTGTTTAGCGTCGAACGGGCGTCGCTGGCGCCGCCCGCGCCGTCGCGCGCGACCGCGGCCGCGCTGGGCCGGCGTGTCCGCGCGCAGGCAAGGCACGCGCTGCAATGCGTGGTCCGCGTGGTCCGCGCTCTGCTCGGCGACGCGGCCATCGCGGACCGTAAGACAGAGTGCGGGCGCCCTCTTGTTATCCTGGGCTTGCAGATCGAGGCGCCCGCCAAGCGTGCGCGCGCGCGTCTGTGGCGCGCGCCTTGGGCCGCGCGGCCAGGTCGATCGCTGGGGCTTCCGCGCTCGTCCATCCGCGGACAAGCGTGCCAAGTGGCTCGAGCGGGTCCGCGCCGCCTTGGCAGCGGAGGAGCTGACCGCCGGGGCGGCGTCCAAGCTGGCGGGCGCGCTCTCCTGGGGTGCATCGCATCAGTTCCGCCGGTTGGGGCGCGCGATGCTGCGACCGCTGTTCGCGCACGCGCACGGCCGCTCGGCAAAGCTGTCCGCGGACGCGATGTGCTGCCTGCGCTGGTGGGCGGAAGTTCTGGCCCATGATACAGTGGAAACCAGGGCTTGGGCCGGCGGCGACGAGCGACCGCCTGTCGTCATTCTCGCGGACGCGCGCGGCACGCCGCCGAATCTTGCGGCCGTGGTTTGCATCGACGGGCGCGTCGAGTATACGGCGTGGGAACCGCCGGGGCCTCTATTACGGCGGGGCAGCATCGCTTCACGTGCCCGTGCCCGCCCTGGCGCATCGCCTGCCAGCGCGCGCAAGGCAATTCCGCGAACGGCGGGACGCCCAGATTGTCGGGCTGGAAATGCTCGCAGTAGGGCTGGCAATGTGCACGTGGGGCAACAGGATCCGCGGCCGCGACGTCCGCATCTACAGTGACAACACGGTCGCTGAGTGCGCCTTCCGACGTGGCTCGGCGGCCGCGCCAGATCATTGCGCGATCGTTCACGCGTTCTGGGCGACCGCGTGCGCAATGCACTTGTCGGTGCTGGTGGACCGAGTCGCTACGGGCGCCTGCTCGCGCCGCCGCGCACCGCCGTCGACACGCGCGCTCTGCGCGTGCGCGAAGACGATAACATTGCCGATCTGCCCAGCCGCGAGGAGTATCGTTTACTCGACGATTTGGGTGCCACGTGGCGCTGGCCGACGCTGTGGCCGCAGTTCCAGCGGCTCCAGCTGCCAGGGTAGCTCGCGTAGCGGGCAGCGTGCGCGCGCGGCGCGGGCATTGCCGCGCGCGCGACCACTGGCTCGGCGGATTTCCGTACGCTCTGACCCGGAGCGGGCGTGCAGCGGGATGCGCGCACCCGCTGCAGCTCGGCGGTTAGTGCACCCCGCGCGCTTAAGCGGTCGCGAGGCCAATGTCCGCCGCTCCCTGCTTGCTTGACGAAGTCGCGCAATGGTGCCGCGGGAGCGCGGCCGCGGCCGCAGAGGAGGTCGCGGCGTGCATGCGGCAGAGCAGCGTTTTCCGCGTATCCTGCGTCGGGGCGTTGCCGCCCGTTCGGACGTGGAACGGCTTCGAGGCGCCCTCTTCGCGCGCGTTTCCATAGCGACCGCGCGGCCGCGCCGCGTTCGCACGGAGGCGTTATCAGGGGGGGCGGCGCGGATCCTGGAGCGGATGGCCATGGCGCGCCCTCCGCCCGGCCCGCCGCCGAGGGGCGCGGCAGCCAGCGCGGTCGGGCATTCTGCCGCCGCGCGACCGCGCCAGCCCGCTGCGTGCCTCGACGCCGAGTCTGTTTCGTCGTCGAGCTCGGACTCCTCCTCTGAGTCGGCACCGCGTGCAAGGCCGTCGCAGCGCGCGGCGCTAGCCCGCGCCTATCCTGCCGCCGTGTACTTTGAGCGCGAGTGCGCCAGTCGCTCGCGGGCTGGGCCGGCGGCGAGCGTGCGGGCAGCGGCCGAGGCGCACGGCCACTTTCGGATGCCATCGCACCCCCGTCGCCGCGCGCGCAAGACGCGCCAGGCGCCCGATTTGGCGAAGGCGGCTTCTGAGATGGCCGGCGTGACGCAAACCGTCTTGGGTGCGCTGCGCGCTGGGCCCGGCGCAGATGGCAGCGCCGTGCCAGCGGGCGGCCTCCGTCGAGCCGCGTGCAGCGACAGCGCCGCGGGGTTTGTTGAATTTGCTCGGCAAGGTAACGGACCGCAGGTAGCGCGCCTGGGCCGCTCGCCCGGGGCGCCACGTTTGCGCGGCAAGGGTGGCGTTCGAGCAATTCCCCCCGCGGTGCCGTTCCCGACGATGGCTTCCCTCGTCCAGGCGAAAGTCGCGCGCCCGCGCCGGCGCCGGCGCTGCGCATGCTGCCCCAGTCAATGGAAAGACGGCGCGATGCTTCCGAGCAGCTGGATCCCAGCGCGAACCGTTGAGTTGCGCGGGGGGCGGGCGCCGTTTCGCTTGCCCCGGCTTTGGGTTGGGTCGGGCTGGGCACGCGTGGCTGGCCGCGGGGGGCGCGTGGGGGGGGGTGAGCCTAAACTAACACGACCCGAAAGCCGTCTGTCTCCTAAGCCGCGCCGAGGGCCGCGTGGGGGGGGCCCTTGGAATTTGAGGCCCGCCCGCCCGCGCCATTCCAGGGCAGCTTACCCCCCCTGTTAGCGGCAAACGGTGACAGCAAAGCATCGGGAATTCGTGGGGTCGGACCCCAGGAAGAGCCACCCCAAGTTTACAAGGCCTGGGCGGCCCACCCAGGGCTGGCACCCGGGCGGCACAGGGCAATCCAGGCCTGGCCTTTCGGCCCGCGTCGGCGGCCGGCAAGCGGACCGAGCACGTTCTCTGTCCCGCCGGCGGCACGTCGCGGACGGTCGGCCGTGAGTAATCTAAGCTGGCCTTTCGGCCCGCGGGGGCGGCCGGCAGGTGGAACGAGCATGTCCTCGGTCCCGCCGGCGGCACCTCGCGGATGCTCCGTGGGCCCGCGGCGCGCGGTCGGCGGGATACCAGTGCGTCCCGGCCGGCGCGCTGTCGCAGTGCGCATAAATTAACGAGGAGCCAGTGCGCCCTCAGCTGCGCACGCCAAGCAAGGCATGCGGTGCTGCCCCAGGCCAGACGGCCCAGGGCGGCTCGGGCCAGTCATGCAGGGCCAGCGTGCCCGCGCAGGCGGCCGGCTTGTGGACCGGGCACGTCCTTGGTCCCGCCGGCTCTCCGCGCCGAGGGCCAGTGTGTCCCGTGCGACGGTTCAAACACCGCGCGCCCGCCCCGAGGGGGGGTGGGCCGGCCTGCGTATTTCGGGGACTCGACCATGTGATTCGGTGCCCCGTGGCGTGATTGTGTCGTGGTACCTCCCCCTTGACTTTGCCACTAAAAGATGCGCGCCCCCCTTCCCCTCTCCTCGCTCACCCTCTTCCCGCCTGGACACGTCCAAGGCCGCCGCCGCGGTGCCGCGCCGCGGGGCCTCGAGGCGTGCGGTGGGTATGGGGCGCTGCCCGCCCTCCGGGGTGTCGGGCTGGGCCCGTAACCATCGCCGCCCGAGGGCCCGCGGTCGTGGCTCCGCGGGTCGGGGGAGGAGGATGTCTCTGGGCGGCGTGTGCGTCAGGGCCAAGGGGAAGTCAGGGGGTGCGCCGTCAGGTGGACCCCCCCTCCACTGCGCCCCCCGCGGCTGGCTGCTGCGACGGGCCCGCCAGGGCGACATCGCCTTGCGCCGCGCTGGAGGAGAGCGCCCAGATTCTGCGCATGGAAGCCGCGCTCGCCAAGACCGAGGGATTCCCGCTGAAGTCACGGGTCCGCTGGCGGCGCTGGCTGCACGGCGCGCGCCAAGGCAGAGGTGGGCATGGTTCGGGAGGCGGTCGCCAGAGGCCGCTGACGTTGCCGCGCGACGCTGCGCTGCGCGGTCGCACGCGGCCCAGCGGCCGCAACGGCGCGCTTGCCGCGGCGGCCGCGCCGACGGCGAGGCGACGCGGGCGGGGGGGCGAGGGAGAGCGTTTGATTCATGGCGCGGCAGTTTTGGGCCTCACGCGCGCGGCGCGCCCCTGGGGCTTGCCCGCGGAAGTTCGCCGGAACGGCGCGGCACAGCTCGCGGGGCGAATCGCTTGGCTTTCGCTTCTCCCGCGCGGCCTGAGCGCTGGCGGGCCGCGCGCGCAGCGCCCTCCCCCTCGTCGCCATCGCCCGTCGTGGCCAGCGCTCCCGCCCCGCCTGGGCGGACCTAGAGCCGCCGCTCTGGTGCCTCGGGCCATCGCTGCGCAGCGGCCGGGCCTGGGCGGGCCGATGCGTGGCCTCCTCGCGGGCCGGGCCCGGCGCGCGGCCTGCCGTGCTCGAGGGCCTGGTGGGCGGTGCATTGGGGGCCGGGGGCGAGGGCGTCTCCCGGCGGGAGAAACGAGCAGAGTTTCGCCGAGGCCCCCGCCCCAGAGACCGAGGAGAGGTCGCGACTGGGCGAGGCGCGCCGCGGAGCTGGGCTGCCGCCCGAAGGCGCGCGCGAGCAAATAACTAATTCAGAGCGCGCGCCGCGTCCCCCGCCCCGCCCCGCCCCCAGTTGCGATCGCAGTCAACTCGCGCGCATTTGTTGGCACGCAGGCCGCGCGAGCGGTTGGGCGCGCGCGCGCGTTTGATCTGCGCGGCGCGACGGGTGCTCGCGGCGGGGCCAGCGCCAACGCAGCCGACGCCTGGCGCTCTCCGCCCCGCCTCGCCTGGGCAGGAGGGGCGAGGGAGGTGCGACGGCGCCCGCGCGGGCTCGCGACGACTCAGCTCGCGAAGCGGAGGGGGCGCGGGAAAGCACGCGCGCGCGAGCATCCCCGGCGCCTCCACTCGGCATGTTGTTTTGTTTTTGTTGGGTTGCGCTCGCCGCGCGTGGGACTTGCAGTTCTGGCGTGGCGCGCCGCAGCTTCCTCAAGAAGCGCGATGGGCGAATGCGCTTCCGACGCGGGCGTCGACAGGACCACGTGCCCCGCCGCCCTGGTTCAAGCGATTCGAGGGCGCGCGGCGCGCGGGAGATTCGCGCGGCTGGGCTCGCAGCGGCCGGCGCGATGCAGCGCGTCTTTTTCGCTGTGTCCGCGTGCGCTGCGATAGCCAGCGCCGCTCGATCATTTCGCGCCGTCGCAGCCGGCCGGGCAAGCGCGCCGCCGGATCGACGCGCGGCCGGCGACGCGCGCGTCGCCAGGCGAGCGGGCCAGCGTTTCCGGCACGAGCGGCGTCGCCGCTGGCGACGCAGATGTCGAGTTGACCCTGCGCGCGCCCGGCGCGGAAGGACTCCCGCGAGGCGGCGCGCGATCGTCGTCGCTGGCGCCGCAGAAGAGTCGACGGAGCAGGTTCTGGCTTCCTTGCGCGAATTGGCGGAGGACGCGCGGCCCGTCTAGCTGCGACCCCCCCGGCGCAGCGCGGCCGCAGCGCGAACGCGCCGTGCGCGACGCTGCTGACGCGGGAATCCGCGACGACAAGGGCGCGCTGACTGAGGCAGACCCCTGCTTCGCGCGCGCGCAGCCCGACTCGAGCCGGACGCGCGCGCGGCGCAGGCGGCGCGCGAGGCTGTCCGGCGAGGCGTTGCCCCTCAGCGCCGCGCGCTCGCGTCGTTCCGCGCCCCGACCCAGCGGGAAACAATGCGATCGTCGATCTTCAGTGCGGCGGCGCGCGCCCTCCCCGCCGCCTGCCGATAGCGCGGCGGCCTCGCGTCTCGCGCTTCAGTTGGAGCCGATCATGGGGGGGGGGTCGTCGGCGTTTGTGCGGAGCACTCTTCGTTGGGTCCTCCGCGGGAATGCGAATGGAGCTGTTCTCCCCCGTCGCGCGCCTTCCGCGCGTTCGCCGTTTGTCGGGCTCCGCGGAGTCCGCGTTCGGCTTTGGCCGCGCCCCAGTTCAGAGCGTCGCTCGGGCCCCAGGGTTGGCCGCGTCTTCGGCGCGGACTGGCCCTCGGATTTCTGCGTGGCAAGCGGCGCTCTGCCGCGCGCTCCGTTGCTCTTTGCTTGACGAGCGCTTCGCGCTCGTCGGCGTAATTGCAGACGGCGCATGCGTTCGCAGGCGAGTGGTGCAATCCTCGGCAGCGCAGGCGCCGTGTCCGCGGGCGCCAGGCCCGAGGTGCCTCGCCGCTGCATCTGCAGCGCGGGGAATGATTTGCAGGCTGCCAAGTTTGCTTGCTTCAGGGCGCCCGCCAGAGCGGGCGGCGCCACGCGCCCGACGTAGAGCGCGCCGCCCTGCCGCCGATGAAGCGCTGCTCGTTTGCGCGACGCAGTGCGCGACTTTGCCGCGCTGTGTCTCGCGCGGCAGCGGCGACGGCGACGACGAACCTCGCGCCGTCAGCGCGCGATTAGAGTTCAAGCGCAGCCCGCCCGGCCGCTTTCATTGCATGTGCTTTGAAATCAACGCGCGCGCACGCGCGCACGCGCGCATATATACAGTTATAACTTATCACCTATATATATATAGGTCGCCGTCGCCGCTTCGTCGCCGCCTGGCGTCTGGCCCCGTTGTCGGGCCCGCCGCCTCGCGGTCGCCGCCGCCGCCCCGCCGCCTCGCGCGCGTGGGCGACGCGGCGGCGCCGCGCCCGTCGCGCCCGACGCGCCCGCCCCGCCCGCCCGCCCAACCCGTCGTCGTTTGCCAGCGACGAGTTCTGGTGGGGGGGTCCAACATGTTTCGTTGCTTCGCCAGCTCGATGCGCCCCCTGGAAGCAATCCAAGGCCTGCGAACTTGCAGCCCGCCTGCTCGCGCGACGTTGCACGTCGTTCCCCACGCGCGTGGATTCGCGCTTCCCCGCTTCAGCTTGCTCGAACAATCGCTCTCGCGCGCCTGCGCGGCGCCGCGCGCGCGGCGCTTCTCGCGCTTGGAGCCGAGCGCCCGCCACGCGCTTGCCGCCAGAGGGTTGGGATCTCCATCTCTCCGAGGCGCGCTGCTCGCCGGGTCCGCCCGCGTCGCCGCGGCGCGCGAGGGGGGCCCGGGTGCTCGCCGCGGCGAGCTCGCGGCCAGAGCGAATCGCCAAGCCGCGACGCTGGCCGCCGATGGGCGCGATGAGCGCTCCGCTGCAGCATTCTGTCTGCGCGCTAGCATGTCTCGCGATTGCGGCGTCGACGGCGCCGCCGCGCACTGCGGTCGCGCGTTGGCTCGCTGGCCCGCGCGCGCGCGACGCGACTCGCGCGTTGCCTGGCGGCCCTGGCGCTGGGCAAGCGCCGCGGCGCCGCCACGGAGGATGTCCGCGCGGCGAATGGGCTCGCAGAGCTGCTTCACGCGGCGGGGAAGGGGGGGTGACCGTCTGCGCCCGCCTCGGCGAGCGGGCGCGCAGCCGCGGAATCAGGCCTTCCCAGACGCCCCAGATGCGTGAATCCGCGTTAGCGCCGACATTGGCATGGAGCGCGCAGCAGCGAAAGAAAAACTGACCTTGCGCGAACTGGAATGCGAGCGCGATTATTCCGCGTGCCCGTCAGGCCTTGGCCGGGTAATCCCGCGGCGCCCGCCGCCGCGCGACCCGCGCCAGGGTGGGCTGATTTGGGCGACAGCGTTCATTGCGAGGCGAAGACACCGGGCATACGATTATTTGGCACGTCAGACAGAGCGCAACCGTTGCAGGCACCCTTGGGTTTCGCAGGTCGGGGCGCGGGCGTCGCCGCCATTGCCCGCCGCGCGATGCGATGGCTATGCGCAGCAGGCTCTTGCGACTCAGTCGTTGAATTTGGTTCCATGCGGCGCGCTGCGAGACGCGCGGCAGCGGGCTTTCCGATGGCGCAGGGGGCATGGCACCACGCGAAAAGATGGACCTCGCGGCGAGGTGCGCTGCCCTGCGCAATAGCGACCGCGCTACGCGCCGAGCGATGTTGCGGTCCACGCGCAGGTGCGGGGCAATCTTCCCTTGCGCAGGTATTGTCAGCGATCCCGAGAGGCGCGTCTGCCCGCGCGTTTCTCAGCGCAGCGCGGTCCCAGGTGCTCGCCCTACTGATTATTCAGCTCCGTGTCCCTCGTCGTGGTCATTGGACTCCGACGGCGGTTGCTTGGCTCCAGCAGGGTACACTGGCCCTTGCGTCCGTCGCAAAAGGTCAGCGCAGTCGCTCGACCGCGCCGTCGGCGCAGCCGCGCGCGCGCGGGCGCATTGAAGATCGCCTCGGAAATTTCAGAGCGCGCGTCAGCGTGACAGGTTTTCCGGTTTTACCAGGATGGAGAAATCTACATGGGGTTCGGCGCGCGAGCCATGGTTCCCCGCGCGCGCGGCCCCAGCATCGCAGCTGTCCAATGTGGCGCGGGGTGGCCTGACAAAAATTAGACGGCGCGCGCGCGCGCGAGCACCCTGCCCCCTCTTTAGAGCAGCGCTTCTTCCGAAAAGTCCCAGGTGCGCTTTGCGTTGCGAGCAGCTGCGTCGGAGTGCTTCGTCGCTCCGCGCTCTCCCGCGCCCCCGGCCCCGTCGTCTGCAGGAGTCTCATCGACGTCGCTTGGGCAGCGCGGAGGAATCGGAACGGGCCCCATCTGCGATTCGCCCGATTTGCGAATATGCTTGCCATGTTTGTGCTTGTGGCTTGCATGACTTGCAGCGCGGCCGCTGTCGCAGATTCGCGGCGCCCCTGGCCCTCGCGTCGCGGCGCGCAGGGGCGCGCGTGCAGTTGCGGACAGGCGCGCGTCTGAGGCGCCGCGGGGGGGGGAAGCGCCTGTGCTCGAAGTGAGCTTGGCGGGCCAGCGCCGGCAGGGCGCTGGCGGCGCGTCTCGACGCGGCACGGCCAGGACGCCCCGGCCGCGCCTTATCCAGAAATAGCCGATCTCATAAGGCGCAGCGCGTCGCACGATGGAAGACGCGCGACGCCAACCAGCCTGCAGTTCACTTGAAGAGGACAGGCGGGCCGTCGAAGCGGCGCGCCCCCGCGGCGCGCGCGCGCCGGGGCGCCGAGCCCGCCGTCTCATCGGCAGGCTGGCATGCGCAGCGTCCGCAGTAATTTTTCGCACGCGTTCGAAATCGCGCAAGATTTGATCGGCAGCGCGGTCGCGGAGTTGGCGCGGCGCTCGGGAAATTCTTCTGCGCAGAGGGCGCTCGCTACGAGGCGCGGCCCGCTTGCCGACGCAACGACAGCGCGCGTCGTCGGTTGCCGCGGCCGCCGAAGGCCGTGGGAAGTTGCGCAGAGGCGCGGACCCTTGGCGATGGCTTGCGCCGCCAGATCGGTTGCGGCGTTTCTCCTGCAGCCGAGAAAATATATCTTTCCTATCGCGTCGGGTCGGCCGCGCGGCGGGCGCTGCCCCTGCGGTGAAATTGAACGTGGCCCCGCGTCGGCCGGCGGACGCAGCGATACTTCGAGCGATTTCAGACATCGAGCAGCGCCGGAACTTGGAGGGCGCGCGGCGCATGGAGCAGGTCGCCCGCCGCCATCGCATCCCCGTCGCCGCGCGCGCAAGACGCGCCAGACGCCCGATTTGGCGAAGGCGGCTTCTGAGATGGCCGGCGTGACGCAAACCGTCTTGGATGCGCTGCGCGCTGGGCCCGGCGCAGATGGCAGCGCCGTGCCAGCGGGCGGCCTCCGTCGAGCCGCGTTCAGCGACAGCGCCGCGGGGTTTGTTGAATTTGCTCGGCAAGGTAACGGACCGCAGGTAGCGCGCCTGGGCCGCTCGCCCGGGGCGCCACGTTTGCGCGGCAAGGGTGGCGTTCGAGCAATTCCCCCCGCGGTGCCGTTCCCGACGATGGCTTCCTTCGTCCAGGCGAAAGTCGCGCGCCCGCGCCGGCGCCGGCGCTGCGCTTGCTGCCCCAGTCAATGGAAAGACGGCGCGATGCTTCCGAGCAGCTGGATCCCAGCGCGAACCGTTGAGTTGCGCGGGGGGCGGGCGCCGCTGCTGCGACGGGCCCGCCAGGGCGACATCGCCTTGCGCCGCGCTGGAGGAGAGCGCCCAGATTCTGCGCATGGAAGCCGCGCTCGCCAAGGCCGAGGGATTCCCGCTGAAGTCACGGGTCCGCTGGCGGCGCTGGCTGCACGGCGCGCGCCAAGGCAGAGGTGGGCATGGTTCGGGAGGCGGTCGCCAGAGGCCGCTGACGCTGCCGCGCGACGCTGCGCTGCGCGGTCGCACGCGGCCCAGCGGCCGCAACGGCGCGCTTGCTGCGGCGGCCGCGCCGACGGCGGGGCGACGCGGGCGGGGGGGCGAGGGAGAGCGTTTGATTCATGGCGCGGCAGTTTTGGGCCACACGCGCGCGGCGCGCCCCTGGGGCGAGAGCTTGCCCGCGGAAGTTCGCCGGGACGGCGCGGCGCAGCTCGCGGGGCGAATCGCTTGGCTTTCGCTTCTCCCGCGCGGCCTGAGCGCTGGCGGGCCGCGGACGCAACGCTCCCCCCCCTCGTCGCCCTCGCCCGTCGTGGCCAGCGCCCCCGCCCCGCCTGGGCGGACCTAGAGCCGCCGCCCTGGTGCCTCGGGCCATCGCTGCGCAGCGGCCCGGCCTGGGCGGGCCGATGCGTGGCCTCCTCGCGGGCCGGGCCCGGCGCGCGGCCTGCCGTGCTCGAGGGCCTGGTGGGCGGTGCATTGGGGGCCGGGGGCGAGGGCGTCTCCTGGCGGCCTGGCGGGAGAAACGAGCGGAGTTTCGCCGAGGCCCCCGCCCCAGAGACCAAGGAGAGGTCGCGACTGGGCGAGGCGCGCCGCGGAGCGGGGCTGCCGCCCGAAGGCGCGCGCGAGCAAATAACTAACTCAGAGCGCGCGCCGCGTCCCCCGCCCCGCCCCGCCCCCAGTTGCGATCGCAGTCAACTCGCGCGCATTTGTTGGCGCGCAGACCGCGCGAGCGGCTGGGCGCGCGCGCGCGTTTGATCTGCGCGGCGCGACGGGTGCTCGCGGCGGGGCCAGCGCCAACGCAGCCGACGCCTGGCGCTCTCCGCCCCGCCTCGCCTGGGCAGGAGGGGCGAGGGCAGGTGCGACGGCGCCCGCGCGGGCTCGCGACGACTCAGCTCGCGAAGCGGGGGGGGGCGCGGGAAAGCACGCGCGCGCGAGCATCCCCGGCGCCTTCACTTGGCATGTTTTTTTGTTTTTGTTGGGTTGCGCTCGCCGCGCGTGGGACTTGCAGTTCTGGCGTGGCGCGCCGCAGCTTCCTCAAGAAGCGCGATGGGCGAATGCGCTTCCGACGCGGGCGTCGACAGGACCACGTGCCCCGCCGCCCTGGTTCAAGCGATTCGAGGGCGCGCGGCGCGCGGGAGATTCGCGCGGCTGGGCTCGCAGCGGCCGGCGCGATGTAGCGCGTCTTTTTCGCTGTATCCGCGTGCGCTGCCATAGCCAGCGCCGCTCGATCATTTCGCGCCGTCGCATCCGGCCAGGCAAGCGCGCCGCCGGATCGACGCGCGGCCGGCGACGCGCGCGTCGTCAGGCGAGCGGGCCAGCGCTTCCAGCACGAGCGGCGTCGCCGCTGGCGACGCAGATGTCGAGTTGACCCTGCGCGCGCCCGGCGCGGAAGGACTCCCGCGAGGCGGCGCGCGATCGTCGTCGCTGGCGCCGCAGAAGAGTCGACGGAGCAGGTTCTGGCTTCCTTGCGCGAATTGGCGGAGGACGCGCGGCCCGTCTTGCTGCGACCCCCCCGGCGCAGCGCGGCCGCAGCGCGAACGCGCCGTGCGCGACGCTGCTGACGCGGGAATCCGCGACGACAAGGGCGCGCTGATTGAGGCAGGCCCCTGCTTCGCGCGCGCGCAGCCCGACTCGAGCCGGACGCGCGCGCGGCGCAGGCGGCGCGCGAGGCTGTCCGGCGAGGCGTTGCCCCTCAGCGCCGCGCGCTCGCGTCGTTCCGCGCCCCGACCCAGCGGGAAACAATGCGATCGTCGATCTTCAGTGCGGCGGCGCGCGCCCCCCCCGCCGCCTGCCGATAGCGCGGCGGCCTCGGCTGTTCCATGCGTCTCGCGCTTCAGTTGGAGCCGATTATGGGGGGGGGTCGTCGGCGTTTGTGCGGATCACTCTTCATTGGGTCCTCCGCGGGAATGCGAATGGAGCTGTTCTCCCCCGTCGCGCGCCTTCCGCGCGTTCGCCGTTGCCCGACTCCGCGGAGCCGTGTTCGGCTTTGGCCGCGCCCCCAGTTCAGAACGTCGCTCGGACCCCAGGGTTGGCCGCGTCTTCGGCGCTCGGATTTCTGCCGTGGCAAGCGGCGCTCTGCCGCGCGCTCTTTGCTCTTTGCTTGACGAGCGCTTCGCGCTCGTCGGCGTAATTGCAGACGGCGCGTGCGTTCGCAGGCGAGTGGTGCAATCCTCGGCAGTGCAGGCGCCGTGTCCGCGGGCGCCAGGCCCGAGGTGCCTCGCCGCTGCATCTGCAGCGCGGGGAATGATTTGCAGGCTGCCAAGTTTGCTTGCTTCAGGGCGCCCGCCAGAGCGGGCGGCGCCACGCGCCCGACGTAGAGCGCGCCGCCCTGCCGCCGATGAAGCGCTGCTCGTTTGCGCGACGCAGTGCGCGACTTTGCCGCGCTGTGTCTCGCGCGGCAGCGGCGACGGCGACGACGAACCTCGCGCCGTCAGCGCGCGATTAGAGTTCAAGCGCAGCCCGCCCGGCCGCTTTCATTGCATGTGCTTTGAAATCAACGCGCGCGCACGCGCGCATATATACAGTTATAAATTATCATATATATATATAAGACATGTATATATACCCACATGTAGTTACTCATGTATACATATACACATGCGCGCAGAAGTACGCATTCCCAAACAGTGCTTGCAATTAGGGCGGTTCGTTTCTTTCCTAAGGAACTGGGCTCCGTTGTCGGGTCCGCCGCCCTGCGGTCGCCGTCGCCGCTTCGTCGCCGCCTGGCGTCTGGCCCCGTTGTCGGGCCCGCCGCCTCGCGGTCGCCGCCGCCGCCCCGCCGCCTCGCGCGCGTGGGCGACGCGGCGGCGCCGCGCCCGTCGCGCCCGACGCGCCCGCCCCGCCCGCCCGCCCAACCCGTCGTCGTTTGCCAGCGACGAGTTCTGGCGGGGGGGTCCAACATGTTTCGTTGCTTCGCCAGCTCGATGTACCCCCTGGAAGCAATCCAAGGCCTGCGAACTTGCAGCCCGCCTGCTCGCGCGACGTGGCATGTCGTTCCCCACGCGCGTGGATTCGCGCTTTCCCGCTTTAGCTTACTCGAACAATCGCTCTCGCGCGCCAGCGCGGCGCCGCGCGCGCGGCGCTTCTCGCGCTTGGAGCCGAGCGCCCGCCGCGCGCTTGCCGCCAGTGGTTTGGGATCTCCATCTCTCCGAGGCGCGCTGCTCGCCGGGTCCGCCCGCGTCGCCGCGGCGCGCGAGGGGGGCCCGGGTGCTCGCCGCGGCGAGCTCGCGGCCAGAGCGAATCGCCAAGCCGCGACGCTGGCCGCCGATGGGCGCGATGAGCGCTCCGCTGCAGCATTCTGTCTGCGCGCTAGCATGTCTCGCGATTGCGGCGTCGACGGCGCAACCGCGCACTGCGGTCGCGCGTTGGCTCGCTGGCCCGCGCGCGCGCGACGCGACTCGCGCGTTGCCTGGCGGCCCCGGCGCTGGGCAAGCGCCGCGGCGCCGCCTCGGAGGATGTCCGCGCGGCGAATGGGCTCGGAGAGCTGCTTCACGCGGCGGGGAAGGGGGGGTGACCGTCTGCGCCCGCCTCGGCGAGCGGGCGCGCAGCCGCGGACTCAGGCCTTCCCAGACGCCCCAGATGCGTGAATCCGCGTTAGCGCCGACATTGGCATGGAGCGCGCAGCAGCGAAAGAAAAACTGACCTTGCGCGAACTGGCGTGCGAGCGCGATTATTCCGCGTGCCCGTCAGGCCCTGGCCGGGTAATCCCGCGGCGCCCGCCGCCGCGCGACCCGCGCCAGGGTGGGCTGATTTGGGCGACGGCGTTCATTGCGAGGCGCAGACACCGGGCATATGATTATTTGGCACGTCAGACAGAGCGCAACCGTTGCAGGCACCCTTGGGTTTCGCAGGTCGGGGCGCGGGCGTCGCCGCCATCGCCCGCCGCGCGGTGCGATGGTTATGCGCAGCAGGCTCTTGCGACTCAGTCGTTGAATTTGGTTCCATGCGGCGCGCTGCAAGACGCGCGGCAGCGGGCTTTCCGATGGCGCAGGGGGCATGGCACCACGCGAAAACATGGACCTCGCGGCGATGTGCGCCGCCCTGCGCAATAGCGACCGCGCTACGCGCCGAGCGATGTTGCGGTCCACGTGCAGGTGCGGGGCAATCTTCCCTTGCGCAGGTATTGTCAGCGATCCCGAGAGGCGCGTCTGCCCGCGCGTTTCTCAGCGCAGCGCGGTCCCAGGTGCTCGCCCTACTGATTATTCAGCTCCGTGTCCCTCGTCGTGGTCATTGGACTCCGACGGCGGTTGCTTGGCTCCAGCGGGGTACACTGGCCCTTGCGTCCGTCGCAAAAGGTCAGCGCAGTCGCTCGACCGCGCCGTCGGCGCGGCCGCGCGCGCGCGGGCGCATTGAAGATCGCCTCGGAAAGAATTTTCAGAGCGCGTCTGGTCAAGCGTGACAGGTTTTTTCGGTTTTACCAGATGGAGAAATCTACATGGGTTTCGGCGCGCGAGCCATGGTTTTCCCCCCGCGCGGCCCCAGCACTCGCAGCAGGTCCAATGTGGCGCGGGGTGGGCCTGACAAAAATTAACGCCGGCGCGCGCGCGAGCAACCCTGCCCCCTCTTTGAGCAGCGCTCTTCCGAAAGTCCCAGGTGCGCTTTGCGTTGCGAGCAGCTGCGTCGGAGGGCTTCGTCGCTCCGTGCTCTCCCGCGCCCCCGGCCCCGTCGTCTGCAGGAGTCCCATCGACGTCGCTTGGGCAGCGCGGAGGAATCGGAACGGGCCCCATCTGCGATTCGCCCGAATTGCGAATATGCTTGCCATGTTTGTGCTTGTGGCTTGCATGACTTGCAGCGCGGCCGCTGTCGCAGATTCGCGGCGCCCCTGGCCCTCGCGTCGCGGCGCGCAGGGGCGCGCGTGCAGTTGCGGACAGGCGCGCGTCTGAGGCGCCGCGGGGGGGGGAAGCGCCTGTGCTCGAA